AGTTAGTTACCTACAGGGGAGCTCCCATAAGACTGTCAGCTGGTTTTCTCAAAAGAAACATTTGCAGGCCAGAAGGCACTGGCAAGAAGTATTCAGAGTGATGAAAAGCAAGAACCTACAAACAAGATTACTGTGTCCTGCAAAGCTATCATTTAGAATCGATGGACATATGAAGAGTTCCCCGGACAAGAAAAAGCTAAAGGAGTTCATCACCACCAAACCAGTATTATATGAAATGTTGAAGGGTCTTCTTGAAGAAAAACAAGGTAAAAAATATGAACAATAAAATGGCAATAAATACATATCTATCGACAATTGAATCTACAAACAAAATGAATAAGCAGAACAGAAACAGACTCATAGATACAGAGAACATTTTGTTGGTTGCCAGATGGGAGGGGGGTTGGGGGAATGGGTGAAAAAGGTGAAGGGATTAAGAAATACAGATTGGTTGTTAGACTAACAAACTTCAAAGGGGGGGTGGGGTGGGAAAAAATAAACCGAAAAACTTATATGCATAACCAATGGACACAGACAACAGTGTTCAGAAAAGCAGAAGGAGGGCAGGAGCGGGGAGGAGGGGGTCAATAGGGGAAAAAGGAGGAACATCTGTAATACATTCAACAATAAAGATAAGTTAAAAGAAAGGCCTGCCTGAGCTCCTTCCTGCTGAGGTTTAACAAAGAGTTTCTCTCTCTCTCTCTCTCTCTCTCTCTCTCTCTCTCTCTCTCTCTCTCCTAACACAAGTTTGAGGAATAACACCCACAGTTTAAGTTCAGTTTTTGTGAAAATAAAATTTTAAAACACATGACTTTGGAAAAATTTGTTGCACACATGTTTTAATTCTGTTGACCCCTCATTCTCCAATAATTAACTCAAATAATATATTTTATGATACCGAATGGCTTATGTTTAGCTGGCTCAGGAGAAGATTTGAAACCGGCCAGGTTTGTCTCTCATGCGGTCTCGCAGATGACGGGGCAAGAGGACATTCTTCCCGAGACCTCAGCGGCCAGTAATGTGCTCACATTTAAATCAGGGAACCAACCAAAGGAAATGGGAAGATGATGGGCAGTCACCCTAGAATCTCCTTTGCAGAAAGGTTTGCGTTTCAGCTGTAGTTTAGTTGTGTAATTGTACTATTGAGCAACAATGGCCATAAACTGTGACCCAGAGGAGACGAAACGTTCCTGAGATGGCATTAGCCGGTGTGGTCCTTCGGGGAGGAGGGACAGGGACAGGGAGAGGAACATAAAGCCCTTCAACTGTATTGGTAACGATTCATTTCTTAAATGGGATGATAGGTACACAGGAATGATTATGTTAATTTTTTGTTTTTTGTATGTTTTAATAAGCTCACAATATATTTTAATTAAAACAATGACACAGGGCCTCACGGCTAGTAAACAAAGTTTAGAGCCCACACTTTTTTTTAATTTTTATTTTTTGCTTCCCAGTACACCAGGCTGCCCGTCAGAGGCTGGAGGCATGGCAGGCAGCTTTGGAGAAGGAGGACCAGGCAGTCTGTCTGTCCTTCGTGCAGGCCTTGAGTGTGCAATTGTGTGGTGACAAGAGCTTTTACTCCATGTGCCAGAAGCAGTCATGAAAAACATGCTGTAAAATATTAATAGCTTACGTTATGCTTTCCTGTGGCCTAACATTATCATTTAGAACTCTTTCTGAAAAATAGTTTGTGACAAAGCCTAATAAAGGGATCCTCTTAATCATTTCCCATGACTTTGTTGATGCAGAATTCTGTAGCTACTCTACCCTCCCAAAATAGATCTATCAAATTGATGATAAATCTCTATTCTTTATTTAAAGCTTCTTTACACCAAAACGCTCCACAAAATGTGCTTCCATTTTTGTTGAGAATGCTCACTAACTAGATCAACTTCAATTTAGGAACTTTGCAGGAACTCCATCGCCTCCTCCTTTACTTAAAAATGAAGTACCCAGCCCTGCCGGTGTGGCTCAGTGGTTGAGCGTCGACCCATGTACCAAGAGGTCGCTAGTTCAATTCCCGGTCAGGGCACATGCCCAGGTTGTGGGCTCGATCCCCAGTGGGGGGCATGCAGGAGGCGGCCGATCGATGTTCTTTCTCATTGATGTTTCTCTCTCTCTTTCTCTCTCCTTTCCCCTCTCTCTAAAATCAATAAAGAAAAAATACTAATAAAAAATTTTCTAAATGAAGTGTCCACTGAATGCCCACCAGTGGTCAGGCCCTCAGCTCCATGCTGGGGAGTAACAGGAAGCAGACAGGCCCTGCCCTGCCTGAGCTTGCAGTTGCCCCGGAAGAGAAGTGAAGCAGGTCATTATTATGCAACGAGAGAATCGTGCTGTGATGGGGAGGAGGCTGGGTCCTGCTCTGGGGGGCATCCAAGTGGGACCTCACCCGTCCCTTTGGATCTGAGAAAGCCTCTGAGAGGGGCGATATTTCCGCTGAATGCTAAAGCAGGAGTGAGGACTGGCTTCTGAATAAGAAAGCAATTTAATTTTTTTCCCCCTGAGGATTCACTCATCTTATTGTGGAGTTTCTATTGCCAACCAAAGTAGAGGAGAAAAGTAATGCAATATTTTAAGGTATCTCTTACCTGAGAAAGAAAGACCCATGGTTCTCCCTTAGGTGTAGGTCACTGTCCTTTCTCTGAGGTGTTCAATACAAATTCCATTTGGGTAGCTGGTTCCCACAACCCTACTCCTACTGCCCTTTGTCAGTGCGCGAATGCACCCTGATCTAAGTGAGTGAGCCAGGGGCAGCCGGACCTGCAATGAGCGCATAACTGCCCTGAGTTTTACTTGATCCACATTTTAAAAAGTCCCTCTTGACCTGTTCACCTAGGAGAAGAAATACAAGCTCAGCTTCTCTGCACACAGAAGCTTCCGGCACAGACCAGGACGCGCCGGGGAGACAGGGCATCTCTTGGCCGTTCTGATTCCACTACCTTCCCTCAAAGCCCGCATTCGTCAGTGTGACTGGTCAATTCACCTTGGAGTGAGTGTCCCATCTGATTGCATGGTGCTTGCCGAGGGACCTGCTTTCCAGGAGTTACTGCAGCGAATGTCACACAAGAAATTTTGCTTTTGAATCAAAACCACCCCCCCGGGGTCCCCACTGTACTAGTTAGAAAAGAACACACAAAACTCAGACAACATGATAGAAAATGAAATCTAAATGTTTATTAATTACAGTGGAATATAAAATCACAGTTTGCTATTTTTAAATGTCTCCATCCAAAAAAAAAAAAAACCAACTTGAAACAAAAAAGTTGTTTTAAAAAATTTGAAGAAATCTAGTACAAGCAAAGATGACATTTTGAAGTGTCATCAATGAGTTTTCACACAGACTTTCCATCACAATAACATTCATTTATATCTTCAATCTTACACAGCAGCAAAGTCACAGTGAGACCCACGGCGAATGCTTCTGAGAGGAAACCAAAGAGGCCGAGAGTGATTGTTCTCTCAAAGGGTCCCGGGGAGTTGAATGAGGCTGGCTTCTCCCTGGCCGACAACGGAACCGTGTGGGAGCAGCAGCGGCCTTTTCTCTGGCTTTTGAGCAGAATAAAAGGAGCTCCGTGTAGCATCCCCTCCCGCAAACAGAGGCAGAGCTCTGGCTGAACCCCCAAGAACTGCTATAATCAAAGTTAACACTGTGGAAAGCATCAATAAAATGTCTTCCTCTGACTTGTTAACACAGTCTTCCTGGATTGCAAGAATAATTTCAACAGTTAGGAAATGACAAAAAAGCTGAAATGGTTGGCTGCATAGCACTGATAAAGTCGCACAACCCTCAGTAATGAAAGAGAGCCCAGACCAGAGGGCACAAAGCTCTATGTTCAAGTCCCAGGGTTTGGGGAGGAAAGCACAGGTTGTCGTCATGGGAAAATGTGCAGAGCCTACCTGAGTACATGTAAGACGAGTCCTCTGACAGTGGCCCTAATGAACACAGACATCTGTCCATCACATCAACCCTTCATGTAAGAGCGTTGCAGGTTGCACGGTTTGGAAACATCTGAAAATGTGTCATTGTTTTAAAAATTGAGAGTCTAACAAAATTGTAAAACTGAGAAAACATGTAGATTTCATGAAGTCAGTGGAAGTGATGTTAGAGAGATGCAAAGCCACTGTCAAATAGACATCTGGTATAGCAGGACTGGGAAACTACTGAGACAGAGAAAGAGAGAGAGGAAGGGAGGGAGAGGGAGGGAAGGAGGGAGAGAGGGAAGGAGGGAGGGAGGGAGGGAGGGAGGGGAAGAGAGAGAGAGAGAAAGAAAATTTGCAAGGATTATGATAATAAGTACTTAAAAAAAAGAAAGTTCTGAATGTCAAAATACTAAAAGAAAACTGATGAAGAACTAAAATATATTTTCAAAACTGATCATATCTAGAATATTATTCCAAAAATTAAATATGAAGTACATGAAATACTACCAAAGAATTTTTCTGAAAAATTATACCCCTAAAAGCCACATGATTCATTTTTCATTCACTCTAAGTTCTAGAATATATTTGCCTTTATAATATAAAGATTGATATTTCCAGATAAAGTCTTAAGTCAATTTATAAATTTTTGACCATGAAATTGTACTCCCTGTTTTAAGTAATGCCAACTTTCCTCAATGACAAGACTACTGTGTTACCAGCCTACTGCTTCTTGCTCATTTTTGATCTGCCAGGGTTCTGTTGACTGTTTCCTAACATCTCAGAGAATAAATCTCTAGCTGGCCCAAGGCCTCCTTCAATCTGAAGGCTCATCTAAGTGTTCTGCGTCAAGAGGTCTTTTATCAATCTCCCCTGGCTAAACTGTCCTTGAGTCTTATGTCACTTTGAAGTCTTTGACCTTGACCATGAACTCTTCAAACAGTTATGAGGAAAGAGATGCTAATTTCATATGTTGTCATGCAGGAATACTTTCTTTGTCCATTGTCCTTTACCAACAGCACCCAGGTCAGGGGTAGGTCTGTTTCCTGGTCCCAGCTGTGGAGTCACATTTCTCTCTATTTCAGTGTGACAACTTCTCCCTTATAGGGTTCACGCTTCACAGGGGTAGGTGTGCAAGTCTGAAAAAGAACATTTCATTTTTCTCTTGTGATTTGTTTATTGATTTCTTGAATTAAACACGAAGTGCAGCTCCCTTAATAAATTGTTAGAGCAGAGAGGAATCTCATGGATTTATCCCGTGCCTCCCAACCCTGCCCTTTCACAGAAACTCCCGGCAACCTCGGTGCCTGTGCTGCCCCTCTCTTTGCTGGTGTTCATCTGCGTCAAAGACCCAGGGAACACCTTCCAGTGGTCACTCCACTGCCACTTTTACGAGGGCCTCGGCCATACCCTCACAACCTTCTGAGTTCTAGGACCATCTTGTCCTTGCGGTCATTCTAGATACTCGCATTCCTCACGTGCTTGGTTTACCTCTCCTAAGACTCTTGTCACTTCGGTTCAAATTCTAGCAATGTTCGTGGTTTTTTTTCCCTCATTTTCCCAATTGCTTCTGTGTGGAACAGGCCCTGCAGCAACCAACTGCACAGCAGAGCTCTGGGCTGGGCCAGCTGGAATGAGCTCAGTATGTGAGGAGAGCTGAAATCTGGACTTCATGAACAAAGGAATTCATGAGAAGCCCCCAATCACACTGTTTGTAAACATGCACCAAATTCATCGACAAGTCAGGAAGCAGATCACCGTGCTCAAGGGCGTGGGCTCTGGAACCGGGTGTCCTGGGCATATTACTCAACACTGTACTTTAGTGCCCTTAGTTGTCACCTGGGGAGAATCACGGCACCTACTTTAAAGGGTGGTTGTAAGGATTAAATGTTGAGAGAATTAAATATAAATAAAGCAGTTAGAATAGTGCCCACCATGTAATAGGCTCTTTACAACGAAATACACAGTGTGTGTGTGTGTGTGTTTGTGTGTGTAATACATACACACAGACAAATCATAACAAATTACTGTAGGTCTTATTTTGACCACCCAAACTAGTATGTTGTGGGGATCAACAATGCGAGCTGTGGACCAAGGCAGACCTAAGTTTCAATTCTAGCCTTGCATTTACTAGTTGTAGGAAACTAGCTAGTACGCCCCTTGGAGCCTACTCACTTGTCTATGAGATAGAGGGAATAAAACCCCTCTCTCAGACACAAAGCACTTCCTTCACCCATTCAGTAGATATTTATTGAGCGCACGCAGCTCTGGGCACAGAGGATAAAGCAAAGAAAAAGACAGAGAGTGTCTCGGAGCTGTGAAATCCGAAGGACCCTGATCTGTGCTCAGAGCCAGCCTCTGCCTGCTCTGTCTGGTTAGATGCGCGGTATGATTTCCATTTTGGCTCACTACTGACTCAGTCCTTTTCTTCACCCTAGATCCTGTCATCACCTTGAGGAATATTGACAAGGGGAAATGAAGGCTGGCCTTGCATTTCTGCTCCCCAGCCCCTGGACGTTGTGGTGACCCAGAGCCAATCCACCCCTGAAACTCGAAACTCACTGACTACCCCACTCTCCGACCACATCCTCCCTCTCAGGTCTTTGGTCTCTGTGTTTTTTCCTCTCCTGGTTCACTTTCAAGCCAGACTGGATGATGTATCTTTAAACCTAGTGTGACGGTATAATTTATCATCCAACCTGGGACACTTGCAAGAGTATAAAAGACAGTAGCAGGCATGATGCAGGCCTGGCCAAGCCCACCAGGATTTACTCCCACCTTTCTTCAACCCCTCCCTCCCTACAGTCTAAGGGTCTTGTCCTTCTCCCTTTTCTTTTGGCATTTGTGCTCAGCAAAACCCATGGCATATTTTAGTGCAACCCAGCGTTTTCCCCAGCCACTTTCTCCTAGAGAAAGTGACATAAGTGGCAGATTTTTTGTGTCACTTGCCTTCATGCTGTGTGTCCCTCATCAGCTCCCACTTCATCTCCCTTTGGCCCCAAAAGTTCCTTTGAAACTTCACAGCTCGTAGTTTGCAGCTGTCACTTTTTGTCTTGCCTTGGGTATCCTTGGGGACTGACGGCCAACACCAAGCCTCATCCTCCTCGTTCAGGGCAGGGCTTGCTCCAGAACCTGGTTGGTCCCTCGGAAGCCTGGACCCAGCTGCAGGCTCAGGGGTGGTACATGACTCAAATCAGCATCCTTCCTGGGTCTTCTGCCTGGGCCATGTCTCTGCTCACGGGGAATGCCTACTCTCCTTTTTGCCAGAATATCTCCGATTTATCTTCTGTAACTCAGCCCAGGCAATCCTCAGTCCTGGAGGCTCTAGCCCTCCCCGCCACATCCACTGTCCTGCTTAGCACAGCCTTGTGTAGTTACCTGTGTACTTGTCTGTCTCCTCCAGCAGACCCGGGGCCAGGGCATTGCTCTGTTTCCCCATAACAAGTACTCAATAAACAGCTGATCAATTCCTACTGAGGATGTTAGTGGGGAGGAGGCCCCCATCTGAGCCTTCTCTCCTCTTTGGGTGGGTTGTCCTGGCCCGGGCTGACTCAGTTTCCCCCCCTACTTCTTAGCTGTGCTTCACCGTTTATCTGTTCCCCGGGCCTCACTTTCTCCTTGGCTGGCTGCCCCCGGTGGGCAGGCCTCAGCTAGCCTGGCTGTCTGGCTGCTTGGTCACGGAACTGGCAGTGCCTCCGGGCACCTCCTAGGCTGGCTGGTCACTCTGGTCACACTGACCGTCAAATATCTCTGGCTTGACTGGCTGGGTCTCACTGCACACAGTGTCCCTCCTTCTCTGCCTCTGGGCTCTAGGCAGCCAGGCCTGGTTTCCTCCAGGACGGCCATGGATGTTACCTCCTGCCCACACCGCCACCTCAGAAATAAACCAGCCCTCTTTGGGAGTCTTCTGCTGTTCATACTTCACAATCTTCCCCTTTGATAGATAAAATCCAGGAATCAAAGACCATTTAAGTTCTGATCTCAAGTCTCCCAGTGCTTTTAACCTCTAATAGGTCCTCATCCTGATGGTGGGTCGCATGGGCTCTTCACTGCTAGACTCCTGCTGTGTTCAGCTCCGTGCTGCCCGTGCCCCTGCGTGCACTTCATGTATGTACATATGTGTAGTTAATCCTCACCCGAGGATATTTTTCCCATTGATTTTTAGAGAAAGCAGAAGGAGTGAGGGAAGGGAAATGAAAGAGAGAAAAACATGGATGTAAGAGAGACACACCGATTTGGTTGCCTCCCACACATACCTTGACCAGGGCCAGGAATTGAACCTGCAACCCAGGTACATGCCCTTGATGGGAATCCAACCCGAGACCCTTTGGTGTGCGGGCTGACGCTCTCTCCACTGAGCCCCACCGGCCAGGGCTGTGCTTCACATTTTAGAACCTCAGTAGATGTTCCTTGTGACAAAGGGGAGCAGCGAAGGCACTTGGCAGCAGAACCTTGAGCCGTCGCTGTGTTATGCAGAAGTTCAAGTGCACATTTGTATTCTAAAGAGACTTAACCTATGACTTTGAGGGAAAGTGGTCTTGCGAGTTCTCTCTAGTGACAGTGACAAAGCTCCATCTGGAGTGTGAGGTGCCTGCGCCTGGCGGGACCAGTGTTTGGGACTAGCAGGTTATCCTCGTGGTTGGGGCCACAATATAGTGGGCTTCCTTCCCTGGTATCCCAGGTGACTGGGTGGTAACAGGGACATCGCCTGCAGTCTCCCAGCTCAATGTGTATCTGATACCTAGAGGACGTTTATGCAGCATACAACACACAGAAAGACCAGGAGGAGGTTTCAGAGGGCTCTGGAGCGAACAGCTAAGCAGGGGGCCTTCTCTCCTTGCCGTCCCTTCTTTGCGTTCTCCTGGTTTCCTTTCTACCTCATGGTCAGTTTTCTCAGGCTCCTCAGCCGGTTCCTTTCCTCCTCCTCTCCTCGGCCTTTGAAGAGTGACAGCCCGGCCTCTGTTTCAAGTCCCCTTTCTTCTCTGTCTACACAGTCTCCTTGGTGGCTGGTTTTAAATCTCTATGCTGTCATTCCCAAGCTTTACGTCTAGCCCTGCTCTCTCCCAATCTCCAGAGTCCTTTATCTAAGTGACCGACTGAGCTCAGCACAGGGGGCTTCGGGAGACGTCTCGAACACAATCACAACTTGAGCGCCGCAGACTATAATTGAAACAGAAGTAGGATTTGAGCTGGCTGAGACCAGGGACTGCTGTCTTATTTACACCTGTAACCCCAGCACCTAGAACAGTGCCTGGTGCTCAACAAACATTTGTTAAATGAAAGAACATTTTTGACTGTACGGCTTTCCAGAACTTTATACATAACATTGGGCAATAAAATCATCTGAGGGTAACATTATCTAAAATTATGTGATGGGCCTGGCTGGGTAGCTCAGTTGGTTAAAGCATCATCCTGGATATGCCAAGGTTGCGGGTCCGATCTCCAGTCAGGACACATACAAGAAGCAACCAATGAGAGCATCAGTGAGTGGAACAACAGATCGATGTTCTTATGTTCTCTCTCTCTCTCCCTCCCCCTTCCTTTCTTTCCCTAAAATCAATAAATAAAATTGAAAAAAAAAAAATATATCATTTGGCGGCTTTCTTAAGGAGTACTGCAAGAGACTAGCATCCTGAGATCAGACCTGCGGAAGGTCAATCTGGGTTGTGGCATCTTCCCCCCAGTACAGACTGAGCAAAATTAAATGATCTCACCAACCAGCAGTTATTTCCATCTTGATGATATCACAAGCAAATAAAATGACTTGAGGGCAGAACCGTATGAGAGGTTCTCCTAAGTGACCAAAGAAATCTAGACGGCACCTTGCCCAGTACAGTGCTGGTGATTTACTTGGGTTGATGAGAGTTCAATTTGTGTTCACAGTATTTCATGATGATCGTCATTGCAATGAGTTAATAGAAAGACACTAACAAAAATTATGTCACAATCTACAGTGCTATAAAGAAATGTTAATTGCAAACATCATTATACCTGCGTAATTGCGGCGATGCTTCTTGGTAGATGATCAGGGGAAAGAGGAAGCTGTCCGATGACAGAAAATGGAACTTCATTGTCTGCAGAGTGGAGGGCTGGAACACTAGATCATCTGAGACTAGAAGGACCAATAGAGGAGTACTCT